CCCTTCCCTCCTTCTTACTGTCTCTCCTTCTTCTCTTCCCTCCCCTCCTCTTTTCTACTTTCTATTTTGTTCTGTTCCGTTCCATATTTTCTATTCTATTCCATTCCATTTTCTATTCTATTTTCTATTCCATTTTCTATTCCATTTTCTATTCCATTTTCTATTCCATTTTCTATTCTATTCATTCTCTATCAAAAGATACTCCTAGAAAGACTCGGTGTCATTGCTGGCCTTTCGGTTGACGGTCTTCTCCTGTTGTGTGTGTGTGTGTGTGTTTTTGTAGGTCCACAGAAGAAATCATTGCACTTTTTATTTCCATCACATTCGTGCTCGATGCCCTGAAAGGAATCACAAAAGGTAAATCTGACGGGGGGGGGGGGGAATCTCACCTGGCTGCTACATTCATTCTTCTTAACGACAGACTAGGCTGTTCTGCAGAGAAGAAAGTTGGCCCATGCTCAAATACAAGACTATTTCAACCGTGAAACAGCAAATTGTGCTTTCAGGTTAGGCTTAAACATGCCCCCCCCCCCAAAGATGCATTTACAGGTAATCCTCGACTTACAACAGTTCATTTAGTGACTGTTTCAAGTTACAACAGCACTGAAAAAAAGTGACTTATTGTTGTGGCCAACCAGTGGAGTTGGCAGTAGATTCGGGCAGTGAGGAGGTTGGGGAGGAACCTGGGCCAGTCCTGGATTTTGGGGAAGATTGTGATGAGCGCTCTGTGTCGGAGGCAGAGAGGGGGCCAGGGCCGTCTGACAGTTATCGGCTGCCTTCGGAGTCGGACATCACTGAGGCAGAAGAACAGCTGGAGCCTGTTCCTAGCATGCGCAGAGCGGCCAGACGAAGGGAACAGCTAAAGAACAGGGGTCGACTTGGGAGTAAAGCCACAGGTGGATGGTGAATGGCCCCTCCCATAGGCCATAAAAGAGGAGCGGAAGGGGAGTGGAGTTTGCAAGAGACAATCAGTTCACTTCATTGGTTCGTGACTCTCCAAGGCTCCTTGCCATATTTCCTTGTACAGCTTTGTGCCTGGAAGCTCTCGGCCTCCAAGGACTGAGAAGGTCTGTAGTTGCAATTCACCTTTGAAAGTTTTATTGCCGGGACTTTCCTTTATGTGAATGCTAGGAGTTCCCATTATCTAAATAAAAAGGGGTGGGTTGTTGTTGTTTTTCGGGACAAGGAGCCTGCTTTTGTGAAGCCCTAAGTCAGAACACTTATGGCCATTTTTTACGACCATTGCAGCATCTCCATGGTCACGTGATCTACATTCAGATGCTTGGACTCAAGCTTATGATGGTTGCGATGTCCTGGGATCATGTGCTCCGCTTTTGAGGCCACTTCGGGGTTTTTATCTGTGCCCTCAATGAGCCTCCGAGGGTCAGATAAACCTTCAGCGACTCTCAGAGAGAGCGTTAACGACCAGAGGACTGTAAGGAAGACAAATCCTTCTTCCCTTTTCCACCATTCACCCAGAAGCGAGGAAGCTTCTCGGTTGAGAAGTGAAACCTCTTCAAGGAAAAAAAAACACCTAAAGTTTGAAAAAGCACCTTTCGAGACAACCACAACTTGGGTGACGGGGAATCTCCGTAGACGTTAAACGGGGTGCTTCACACAGGGTCATAAAAAGGGGGGAGGGAATTGTTCCCCCCCCCCAAACAAAGTTTTTTAATTTATTTTTTGTTACATGTTTTAACTTCTTTTATGAACAAAGTGTTGTCCTGGTTCTCCCCCCCCCCCCCCCCGTTTACATCTTCTATTATCCATATTACATTTTACATCATATTTCCATTTTACATTTCGGTCGTCTTATTTTTATTCCCTATTCTCCCGCTTAATGTAATTTTTTTCTTAATATATAAACAATATCCTTTTTGTTTCTCAAAGTTAATCCAATGTAATTTTTTTTTTTTTGTATTTATTGGACATTTATAGGCCGCCCTTTTCCCTGAGGGGACTCAGGGCGGCTTACAATCAAAAAGGAAAGGGAGTGTAGGACAGTACAAAAAATATACCATTTCCATCTGTTATTCTGTTTCACTATTAATAATACACATCCTCAAGTTTAGTTTAGTTATAGAGTAAACATTTCATTTAATTAGTTTGTAAGTAATCATTTTAATCTATATCCCACACATTTTGTTGAATATATACCGTTGGCTTTATTTACCAAGTTTCATTCTATTCTACTAGCGAATCCTTTTCTTCCTTTCCTCCTTTCAACCATTTTCTCTGAGTCTCTCAGGAACTTAATTCCTCTCATATTCTCTTTTCTCCACCCATTTGCCTAGTTTTTTTTTCTTTTTCTTAAAATTCCTGTATTTTCCCTTTCCGATCTTTTTTCTGCTTTTTAATTTTGTTGTTTCAATATCTATACAATACAATAGCAGAGTTGGAAGGGACCTTGGAGGTCTTCTAGTCCAACCCTCTGCCTA